TAAAATGTCATGACATGTGTCAGAGCATCCAACTAACAAAGGGGGCTGAAAGCAACTGGGTTAAAAATAGAGGCCCAAGAGGAATTTGTGAGCAGACTGCATCCTACAAGGTTCTATGTATTGAACACTAATGCGTCTAATTAATGATGAAGAAATCTTTTATGTGGGAAATTTGAATATATTTCTAAATAAGAGGTAATGGTTAAGACAAAAGACTATGGCTGTTTTACGTTAACTGCAATAGATTAAGTAAATGGGCTCAGAGGTAGAATGTGAAATTTCAGCTGCCTAAGGATAAAGTGATGCATTTGGAAAGAATTAAGGAATCATATAGAAATAATTCAAATGAGCAGTTACCATGAGGAAGGAAAAGGGACTTGGGGTTTCGATACCAGTCAAACTTTTCAATTCTTATTCTTGTAACTGGTAAGAGGCAAATGCAGCGAATGCAGTTAAATAACACGTGTTATAAAGAATACGCAATTGATAATCTTCAAGAAGAATAAAGAAACACTAATTTTTGAAGAGAGATGATAATTTCATGTGTTATCACTCTGCACAGGTAATAACCTAATGTACATACTTAGATGACCAAGTCTTAACATATGTAAGAACTGATGAAAATAAATCAATTTAGATGTGATACAAAAGTATGAGGGCAGAAAAATGAAAGAAATTAAGTAAAATACCATATCAATATATAATGCTCAATTCTCCCTGAAAAGAGAAGACCTTGTAATCACTGCCTTTGGAAAAGACACCAACACTTACTACATTTAAGGTCTCAGCTTCTCAGAGAGAAATAAGAAATAACTAAATCAACCTCATAGCTTTGATACACTGTTCATAGGCTCAGAAAGTGACCACACTATCCACAGGTCTTCCAGTGAGCATTTCTTCATGAGCAACGAGTACTATTTCAACAGCACACCAGCTCCTTGAGCCATTAAGGCATAACTGTAAGTCTGCTGCTTGGAACTGATGAGAAAAACATCTCTTTCTTCTTAGGTACAGTCAGAGAAAGCTGAGCAACCTCTCCTCAGCCCTCCACCTCTGGCTTCCCTAGCTTCACTCCCCTTTCTCTGGGGTTATGTTTAAAGCATTCTGAGCTATCCCTGCTGAGGTGAACTGTGTGTGGTCAGATTGAAGGCCACTGGTGTTGCAAACACAGACATGTATTTAATTCTTCGTCCAAATGTAGTGAAGGAGTATCAAGCTTATTTATGGATGGGAGACATGAAAGAAATATAATGTTAAAACTGAAGAGATCAAATCAAGCTCATATTTGGAAAGAAATAGATTTTACTAAATAGAAGAAAAATTGTGCAATGACAGAAACCTATTTTTAGTTTGATGTCAATTTTGTGAAGATTAATGTGACTGTAAAATCTCATCAAATTAGATCTACATTGGGCCTAAATGAACCTCTTCAGAAATCTGGATGTGGAGAAAGGTGTTTTTTAAAAAGTATATATAGAAAAGAATAACTGATAGAAGAGAGTTTGATGAATTTCTCAAATTGAACACAACTATGTCTCAATACTGGGATTAAGAAGCAGGATCTTATTAGCACCACTGTACCTCATTCAGTGACTGGTGCCCACAAGGGAAAATAAACTCTGACTTCTAACATCATAGTTTTACCTGTTTTTATATTCAATATAAATGCAATCATATAAAATGTACCCCTTGGTGACCGGCTTTGATCATCCAATGACAGGACTGTGAGACTTATTTCATATTGTTGCTTGTATTTGTAGTTCATTCATTCTCACTGAGAATGAGTATTCTATTATGAGTATTCTATTATGTAAATATACAACCTTTGTACATTCTGCTTGAGGGACATTAGGGTCGTTTGGGGTTTTGACTATGACGAACACACCAATAATTACATTAAGTACAAATACTGAAGTAAAAGACTAAATAGTTGATGTAAAATGCTAAATACTGCTCCAGCAGATAAAATGTAACTATAAGCTGCTTATAAGGAATCTGGTGTAGGTATATCAACATGAAATGAAGAATTATGGCAAGAGATATTGCTACTAAGAAATACTTCATAATTATGAGTGTATGTGTGTCTAAAACAGCCCTAACCTCTGAGTACCAAGTGATATATATTCAACATATGGAAGGCCAAAAATAACGGAATTTAAAAAGACAAATCCACAATTATAGTAGGAAACTTTAACATACTCCTCTTAACAGCTGACAGAACCGGCATTTTAAAAAGTACTAAGAATACAGACAATCTGAACAACACAGTGCACAAACTAAACACTGTAACGGACATACAGGGAACACAGCCTATGCACCAAATGCCATTGGTGCCAAGTATTCTTTTCTAACGTGTCTCACAAATTTACCAAAACTCACCATTTGCTGGGCATAAGAACGTCTACACAAATTTTAAAGGATTTAAGTAATTCAGATTATGTTCTGTAAAAACAGTAAATTTAAGCTAGAAATAGATTTGTATTATTATTTCAATAGTTTTTTAAAAATAAATAGAAAGTCTCAAACTACCTGGAAATAGAATATTACATTTACAAATAATCCATGGTCAAAAAAATAAAGAAACCACTTTTGTCTTGTGCTTCTCGTCTAACTAAACTAAAATTAGAACTCACATATAGTCTTTCCTGCTCTGGAATATGAAATAGAAAAAGATACAAAAATCATTTTACTGGTTGCCAAAAAGGATTGAGAAAAAAATACAATGAATCATCAACTTCTGCTAGAGAGGAGGGGAAAAAAAACAACTGAGCAACCATTTATGCTAAAGATGATCACGTCAAACAGTTTACACATTCTGTGTGGTAGGCAGCACTATCCCCACCTCAGGAGGAAAGCTGAGACCCACCGAGTTACAATGCAGTTTTCAGAGCCAGATGTCAAGAGAATGATAAAGCTTAAGTTGCCGCCCATCCTCCCCTGAAGGTCATGCCTACAGAAGCACAAGGACAAGGGATAGTTCATTCAAACTCCTAGACTTGCTGATAAGGAATCTGAAGCTCAGAGGTGTCCAGAGACACCCATCTTTACATCAAGACTTGAATCAGGGTCTCCATGAAACTCCAGTTTTGTGTTATTTGCATGAATTACGTCACTTACACTGCAGTTATATACAATGCAGAGATACCAACGGTACAGCACCTTTGCACACAAACCTCTTTCTACAGAAGTGTTTTCAAATAAAAAAAAATACCTTACTTTAATATATGAATTCCCAAATATTATCTCAACCAAAATATATGTTATCTCAACCAAATCACAGTCTTTACGGTCTTTTTTTTATGTAATGTTTTTATTTTTGTCTTATTTACTCACTGTACTTTAGGGAACAATTTGCTTTTCATGTGTACCTGGAATATGTCAATCTTGCACCTGGAAAGGAGTCAGGGCAAGCCCACTTTAGGGGGGACACTTTGCTGATGCCCACCATGGATTTAGACCCTGTGCCCTGGCCATTGCTAGGAGTGGCATTTTCACAGGTGGTGTTTTTAGTACCTGTAAAGTTATGGGTCCATATTTATAAAGAACCCATAGGCACTTATGGCCAGAGATATTTCAACTCGACTTTATCTGTTTTTATGAACTAAAGCTGATAAACCATCTAGTTTCAAAACCTTTTCAGTGACAATCTCACCAAAAGGGAATGAGCAGAGACCTCTGTTTTTGTTTGTTTGCCAAATACAGCCCTGGATAGCAGAAAAATTACTAAATCGCACACTCGACGTGACTTTAAAAAGTCAATCACGTGAACATCAACTGAGAAATACGAAAGAACATTAATAAGCTTATATCTACATACTGTCAAATGTATTAAGAAAACTAGTCTAACTTAAATTACTCAAGTTCAATTTCTTTTAATGCAGGTATTTCGTGACTCACATTTCTGGTGTGATTTATATCATGATCCCCACCATCCCCACCACTGCTAACTGCCCCTTCATATCGCACAGATAGGCATACAATGTTCCAACAGCTTCGTAGCCTTTATCTTTTTAAATTTTCACAGAGACCCTACTAAGTCGGTACTACCACACAGATTTACAGATGGGAAACCTGAGGCTTGATGAGGTCAGCCTGCCTGAGTTCATACGGCCAATCACGGAGAAGTAAGGTTTAAAAGCAGTAGCTCTAATAGGTCCCAAAACATCTGCTTAAAGCATAACCATCATCGACGGGCCTTATTCCAACTCAGTGCTGCTTGGGCTAAATCTTGGAACACTTCTCTAAATTTACTTCAGGGGAAGCACCTCCTCAAATAGGTCCTCTTACCCATAATCCATCATTTTGCGGCTCTGCACAGTGAGAATTCAGCACTCAACAAATACTTGCTAATTAAACAAAATGTCAGGCTGGAGGAACGGATCTGCTTTACTCTGCAGTTGCAGCCACGTCGCTGACACCTTCCAGAGCACCTGGCTTGCCATCCAAGAGGCAAGAATCCTCTTAGTGGCCACTGCCATCACCAGCTTTCCCCAAACCCAGGGCCAGCTCCCTCCCAATTTCTGGGAAACATGCAGCACCCTGACCACACAGGATGCCTGACTCTCTCCGGGCTCGCAGGTCACCTTCTATCTAGGCATTCCCTGGAAGATGACGGTGTAAAGAAATAGGGCATAACATTTCAAATCACAAGCATTTTTGAGAAAAATATTTTAGCAATTAGTCAAAATATGAAGATTTCACAACTACTCTCATTTCAGATCAACTATGCTTTAAACATTTACTCTTATTAACTTTATAGTCGTAGGATGACAACTTTGTCAGATTTGCCTTTTTGATAAAATACAGTTGAAAAGTCCTGTTTTCATAGATGAGTGGGATAAAACTGGAATGTACTTTTTATAAGTCTTGTAACAGATACTATCACATACTCTAGTCCATTTCAATAAATCATGGTAATGTACAAATAGCATTGTAACTGTTATGATTACACGAAATCCTGGTAAAAACGAACAAGTACTTTAACAGTTTCTGTCCCTTACCAGCATGCAGGTAAGCGAGGTCCGGGTTTTCAATGTCAGGATGCTGTTCCTTCAGATGGTTCCGGAACTCCACAGGGACATTGGTCCCGTAGTCACACTTGGGACAGTTGTACATCTTGACCCCTTCATGTTTGCCAGTATGCAGAATGTGTTTGCGGATATTTTCTGCACAGTTTGACCTACCAAGTAAGACAGAAAAGTAAATCTAACTCAGGTCAAACCAATAACCTTATATCACAAATAACGACATTAGATAACACTGTCTCTATGTGTTCGGTACTATTTTGAGTGCTGTACTCATATAATAATTAGTTTAGGTAATATATCGGCCCTATCAGGCTGGTAGCTTTTACAATCCTGGTATGAAGTTTTAAGTTGTTTTGTTACCTTCATTTCTATGAAGAAACAGAAATACCAAATCCCAAGTACTATTATTTTAATATCAAATTATTCTGGTACCACTTGAGAGCAGTGAAGGTGTTTGCTGATCCCTGAGAACACACCTATAGCCACTGAGGAGTGGTACAAAAATGAAAGTGCTTCACCTCCACTAAATTTAGAGCATCTGGGGAACAGAGACACTTTGGCTCTTAAGTTCTGTCAAGCAGGGTGCTTTTAAGTAAATGCTAAAATAGTTTGACGATGGAATTGGAGCTAGAAACGGTTCCCAGGCTCAACTCCAATGTTTGGACAACATGTTAATCCCATGGAGCCTTCTGTGATGATCCAGGCTCTTAAGAGTGATGAGATGAAAAATACAATGGAGGGCCCATATATTCCATGCCATGTTGCCACTGAAATCAGAAGTGGGCTCCTTTCCCAGTGTTTTCCAGCAGAATTAGAAATGCAAGGCCTGAAATAATCAGCAAACTGGGAATGGGGTGCTGCCTCCTGAGGCAAACTGTTGTGCTTGCTCTTTCAAATCTGCCAGTTCCTCTGCCACAGAGACTGCACGGCTAGACCCTTTCCGAATACACAGGCAGAGCTGTTTTTCTTTTGTCTTTATCATTTTTAGAACAGTAATAAAAAGAGCCCTACACAAATTCTAGCAGGTGTTGAGGGGTTATCTAGAAAGAAAGAAAAAAAGAAACAAACTGGCCTCAGATTTCCTACAGACCAAAATTAAGTGCCAGAAGAAAATATAGCATATGTTTATCACCATTTCCCAAAGGTATTGCTGAAGAACAAAATCCTACAAGATGTTCTTAGAAGAAAGATTTCCATGATCGAATGAGATCAGGAAATGGTAGTTAGCCAACACACCTCACAGTGCACCTCAGGATGTTAAAGACTCTAGGAGGAAACTTTATGTTTGTCTACATTGCCTGAATGCTTCTAATTAGAATTGCTTTTGTGTATAATATTCAATTATACCATGTTTATTTTTCAGGCAATATACCTTGGGAAATGTTGGTCAAGGAGGTGAAAATGATTGTTACCTCTCACACACAAAGGCACTGATGTCGTTAGAAATTCAAAGGCTCAGTAAATATGGTATCTATCCACTCCTGACAAGAGGAGTACAGGAAGTACCATCCAGGTGAGGCAGGATTAATGCAAATGGCACGAAGAATGGTATTCCCCAGTCAGAGGGTACAGGGATGTCCTCTCCTACTGACTCTGGACAAAGCTAAAACACAGACACGTTCCTCATGAGTGGGGATCTCATATTCTGGGAGCAGTCTCGTATCTGGATCCAGATATTCCTTTGGAAAAGTTCCTACTACTGCCCTCCCATCTCCAGGCAGGGCTTGTCATCAAATGTACATGCACAACTAAATCTAGTCAATATAATTAAATTGAACAAATCAAATCCCTCTATGCCTAGGAAAAAGACTAGAGATGCATCAAAATATTAATGTGGATATACTGCAATGCCCACTTATCCTTATTTGTCAACTACAAAGTTTTATATGTTAAAAATATATATTTTAAATTAAAATTACAGTAACACCTTTTTGAAAAATTAAAAAAAAGAGATGAATTAGAATAACAGATATTTTCCCAGCTATTTTCAACCTGCTTTGGGTAAAGGCTCTGTTTATCTGGGTGTTAAATTTTCCTCAGATCTTAGACTAAATACATGCAAAACAGTGAATGTATGCACACAAGCTTATTTCCTTCATGTCACTACTGAATTGCCAAACTTGCTTTATATATAAATTCCCTATTGTGAACTAACAATCACCGTAAGAGGGAAAAACCGAGTAAGCACCTAAGCATGCCAGGTACCTCCACTGACCCGGTGACTTCGAAGCCAAGCATGACCCTCTGAGGTTGAGATTGTTATGCAATTCGCAGAGGTGGTAAATATCACAGTGATAACCTGGCAACAAAGGCTGCACGGCTGGTGAGTGGTTAAGGTGGAATCCTAACCTAGGTTTTCTGTTTTTGAGGCCAGGATGTTGGTATGTTTTCAAGTATACCACAGCCAGCTTTCCCTTTAATATCTACATCTAAGAGATACCAGCAGATTCTAAGCAAAGGGTAGGACTGTAGAGTCTTTAAAATTTATAATCATCCTTAGAGTAACAGCTCTGGGTGTCAGAAATAACACAGGAAAACATCTGAAGGTGACAGACACAAATGTCCACTTTTATGACAGTTAAAAGGAACAATTGTTTTTTTTAAATTCTTCAGGCTGGATAAACTGTTCCAAATTACTCCCTTAATTCTGCAGACCTCGAATTTGTTTTCTAGAGCGTTACAGACACCTCCTAAATTCACCATTGTTTACTGACACTGGGGAGAGAAAACAAAAAGCTCCACTGTGCTTAACGAGGACTGTTCATCAGGAATGTAGATCCGTTGGTGCTGCCAATACTAGCTCCTTACGTAAAATGCTAGGCATGAAGCATCATCAAAGACAATCACCAATCATGTGAAGAAATTAAAATTGCCAAAATAAATACATTTCAATGTATGATGAACATAAGGGAAACAATATAAGCAATGAATCCTAACATTCAGGGAAGGAAGAAAAAAATAACTTTGAAAATAGAATATTTTGTTTTCAAGAAAGCTGTATTTAGGACAAAAATAAGCCTATATCTCTCAGTAACTAAACAGCATGTAGAATCTAACAACTGGGAACTATTACTGAAATAGGTAAGACGCAGATGGGGACAAAGGGAGGGGAGAGAGAATTTAAAAAGGTGTGAAGCTTCCTTTATTTGAAACTATAAAATAAATCAAGAAAGATGTGGTTTGGAACTTGAGATTTTAAAAGGCATTAAGGACCATTCCACACATATATTCTTATACGAATATGTGCATATGTTTGTGTAAAGGATGTGTATATACACACTTTTTTAAATGTTCCATTACATAATACATGTAGGTATGTATATTTGTAATTATGTTTTAAACATACACATACCAGAAGCATAAACACATGCAGATAAGAAGGAAATGGGATGCATTTTGAGAAATGGAGAGTGAGTGTTAATGTGTACGGGGTCTTTTTGGATAATAAAAATCTATGATTGCTTATGGCAATGGTTGCACAATTCTGGTAATATATTAAAAACCAAAGAAGGTAGCAATTTCAATGGGTCACTTGTAAAATATATGATCTATCTCTCCACTAAAACTAACAAATAAAAAAGAACTCTCGTGCCATTGTCACCCTTCTTCCTGCCACTTTGGGAGCTCAACTCTCAAAGTTACCAAGACGGAGAAGAGGTTCTCAGCATCCGTGGGCCTTTACCTCAGTGAGCAATACATTTTTAAGTCATTCAAATTTCAGAGTTTTGCCTCACATGCCACTACTGCTAACTATCACATGCTACTAATCTCCTTCCTCAAACCAGTGCTGCATAAAACCCCACCGCATCAGCACACACACGCATGCACACACATACGCACACCTGATTTGAGCCCTCCTTACTAATCACTGCACAGCAGATATCTTGAGTGAATCAGAGGAAGTAAATTAAGGACACCTGGCCTATTCCTGAGCCAGGGCAACTCCTCCTGGCCTCACGCAGCTCCTTTGGAAATATCCCTAGACTTTATTTTATCTCTGAATTTCCCTCTTCTGCCACCCAGGACTTCCTATCACAAGCCAAGAAGCATATTCTTGTCATCATCTATATGTAACTTGGTGTTTCCCTATGGGAGAGTAAAGAAATTTTTCTTTCAAGAAAATTTATGAGAAGTAAAAATTCTCAGAAAAATGCAAAGGGTTATATGTATACTTTAAAAAGAAGAATGCTAGGGAGAACTCACGTCACAGTTTTCCCATCTGAGATGAACTAGGAAAACAGAGACCCTGGTGCACATCTCTGATGAAGGAGAAAGTGAAACAAGCAATGACTGAGCAGTTTCCCAGGGGATTCGCTAAGAACTGTGACCCCCAATCCAGTTTCCAACACTAGGACCTGTCCCATCCCCATCCTCGTCCTCTTCTTCCTGGCAGCAGACGACCCTGGTGGATGCAGAAGAAACATCCCTGGGTGTGAAGTCAGGCGGCCCAGGTACATTCCCCACATGGGAATTTCAGCACCCACAGAACAGCTCTGTGATCTCAGCAAAGTACCTCAACTCTCAGAGGTCTCTTTTCCTTAACTAAAAAATGAATTCGGTACATCAAACTACCAAAGGACAGAATGCAATCTATCTACGTATTATCTTTTTCTTTAGAGAAGGTACGTGCACATAAATGCAAAATCTTCACCTATGAATTCAGAGAGTTGTTAAAGGCTATTCCTGGGCTCCAGTTCTAAAGGTGGGTGGGAAGTGGCAGAGGGGAAGGTGAGCCACATACCCTGCACAGCTCCAGCCCACTGCGCCAAGTCAGCGCAACACAAACAAAAGCGACGGAATGTGCAGCTTTCGTCAAAATGCCAAGCTCTGCTCCGTCCTTTCTCAACTCCATTCTACAGCTCCAGCTCCAGGTGACAGAACATGCCACCAGGCTTTCCGCTGAGGAAGAACTTCTCCTGACCCTCACAGGCGGAAGATTTTCCTCACACTCTGAGTGGGGAGCCTGCTGGAAGGAAAGCTAGATTCCCCAGCGCGAAGCCTCATACTCCTCACTGGGATTCCTGCAGGACTCATGCAGACTAGAAACAGCATGCATCGCTTTCATGGAAAAGGCATTCTAAGCGTGCATTTCCAATTAAATTCTGGAATATAACATGTTGAAAGTCTGGAGCAGCTTCAAGGTATAAAGTTT